TAATCATAAGGGGTACCATGTATGGGTCAGGTCATAGGACACTAATTCAATGCACAGTTTTCTAGTACAAAACATACTTTTCAAATGAAGAACTTTTGGAATACAACACTAGAAACTTAACTAGTAAAGGGTTTAATCCATTTTATTAAACCAGTAAAACTTAAAGGAACTTAGGTGGTTAATTATATAATACCTTAGTTTATACACCAGGGTTATATATAATTAATATCCGATAGGTAGTTGGATGTGTGCTTTCCGCTTCATTCCCTGTTCCTTGTTTGGTTGTGGGCTTAGGGCAGATTCACACAATTAACTATCTGTTCGATATTAGATTATATATAACTAGTATAAACTAAGTGATTATAGAAGGAACTACTGTGGTTATCATTTTATAATAAGAAATAAGGGTTTTCTTAAAGGATCTTTTCATCAAATATAAAGGAACTATAACAGTTAACTCCGTGAGTACCGAGTGAATACGCAAGGGTTATATACAACGATGATCTAAGAAACAACGGGATGTGTGCCTTCCGCCTCATTTCCTGTTCCTTGTTTGGTTGTGGGCTTAGGGCAGATACACACAACCGATTGTTTGTTTACTCTGGGTTTTATATAACTTGTATCCATTTAATACTCATAGAAAGGACTGTAGGGTCATTTTTACTTATCTTTCATCAAAGCAGGAAATATAGGATTTTCTGGAGGAACAGGCAAACTTTTCTAAACAGAACTTACTACAACTTACTACAACTTTCTACAGACTATCTTACTACTTACTACATCACTAAAATCTTATGAACTCACCAGCTTAAATGCTGATCTACGCTTTCAAAATAACTTGTATTCTCAGGAGACCAGTAGACAGGTTCGCGCACTGGGATTCAGAAGATGGAGCAGTATAGCTTCATGTCTTTTTGTTATTTGCTCTGTATTCTATATTATGTGAATCACATACTTTGTAAACACTTTCTTTCTAATGAAATGATTGTTTATTACTTGGTTACTATGATGCATGTCTTGTGATACTAAACATGACGTCCTCCGCCCCAGAACGTTTCCGTCGTTCCGGTTTTGGGGTGTGACAGAGTGGTTCAAATGAGAACCAAAAAATGTTAAAGAAGTCGAAGAACCATTTTTTTTAATTTTTTTCATTAAAGAAAATTTGAGCCAATCAAACATTAATATTATATTAAACATATTTTTTTCCTTAGTTTCCAACTAGTTGCCACTTGTCCTTGGACCGCCACCGAACCACCGTCGGATTAACACCAAATTCAGTGGCATTTTTCTGGTCGTATTCACGGCTTAATAAAACAAACGTTGTAGCTATCATTTTTGTGAGAATACTTTTTAACACCTACCATTTCATTTTGCTGCCAAATATATAAAATTGAATAAAAATAGAATTATGTCTTGACAAATTCAAATTTCTCTTTTTGTAAATGGTAGATTTGTTTTAAAAAATATATCGTTTAAAAGACATATTCACAGTTTAAAATACCATATTCATAGTTTAATAAACATATTAATTCATTAATACACAATTTAATATTTTTCATGCATATACTTATTGATATTTTAACACAAAATTTATATCAAATATATAACTTAATAGAGTCCATTTTTAGTTTAATACATAAATATCACAACATAATACAATCCATTATTCACTAAGTTACATATTCAAAAAAACTTAAACCCAAACTCTACCACCACCAACTAATACTACACGCAACCACCACCCACTTGTGCTACCATAGTAACCATCATTCATTCCAAATCAGATTTGCATATAAAATCATTGATTGACAACTTAAATGTTGTATTCACAATTCAATAAACTAATTAATTTACTTATCCGATGTTTAGTGCAAAATAATTATAAAAACTAATATATTCGTGTATATATATAAAACAAAAAATATTCATAAGAAAACTAATATAAAAATTCATACATAAATTATTCATATTTTAACACAAAGTTAATTAAAAATTCATAGCTTAGTACAGTCGATTCACAGTTCAATACACAAAATTCGCAGGTTAATATAATAAATTCACAGTTTAATGCACAAAAATTATATATTCACAATCATATTCTCAACTTAAAACTTATATTTATACCTTCAGATATATAGGTTAGTGTTTCTTTCAAAGTTATTTACATAAATATTCACAATTTAAATTTTAGATACTTTATTCAAAATTATATAAAATCTTTATATGTGTAGAATGATTCTTTCATCTTATATTTTAAAAGCAAACAAAAAATTTATAAAAAAATTACAGCTTAATACCAGTCAATTCACAGTTTAATACAAAAAGTTTACAGCTTATTATAGTCAATTCACAGTTTAGACATAAAATTCACAGCGTATTGCAATCAATTCACAGTTTAGAACACAAAAAGTCACAGCTTAATACATAGAATTCACGACTTAATACAATAAAATCATAGTTTAATACACAAAAATATGCATTCATAACCATATTATCAACTTATAACTCTTAGTACAGTCAATTTATAGTTTAATACATAAAATTCACAGTTTAATACAATAAATTCACAGCTTGATATAGTGAATTTATTGTTTAAACAAGAAATTCACAACTTAGTGCTGTTAATTCACGTTTAAAACACAAAAATCACATCTTAATAGATATCATTATATTTTAACACAAAATCCACATAAGATTCACAGCTTAATTCAATCGATTCACAACTTTATATTATTTATGCACAACTTGATACTTTCCATTCAAAGTTTAATCACAAAATTCATTATAGTTGAAATTTAAGATCCAAAAGATATCCACATTAGATATGTAAAAAAAATAATATATTCACAGCTTAAAACTTCAAGACCTCCACATTAAAACTTGACAAATTAGGAGTAAACTAACATATTTGATAGAGATTTAATGCATACCAATGAAGATATGAAGTAAGCCAACACATCAGAGAAAGATCGAGGAAGAATTTACTCAAAATAACAACAAAAAACTTATTTTCACAAGTTATGGAAGAACAAAAATTAGTGAAAATACTAAAAATATGTGAACAAAAGTAATAAAATGAGTGTACCTACGATATCCTTCAGATCTGGAACAAAAAAGCATATGAAGCTTGTCGATCTCGCAAGGAAACACCAACGATAGATCGAAACCACAAAACTAATACCGAAGCCAAGTGATTGTAGTTGTTAAAACTTGGATTCAATTAAATTTAACCGGATCTAGATTAGGAACACTATCAGAAACAAGAGAAAACCATCAGACTCTCATATCTAACCAGATTTGAGCAAAAAGCGTCAAGGAAAGTCAACGGATTCACGAATCTGTCAACATACCACCGGACATGGCAAACGGAGGTGATCGTTTGCCGGAGATCGCATAGATCTTGATCTAGAGATGAAAATAACAAACAAATTTAGCAAATATAAGATACAAAGAAGACGAAACCAATTCTGAAGAAATCAGATCTAGAATCATGAGCACGAAGCACAAAAAAATGCACCGATCAAAGATGTTCAGGTGGTGTTTTGATATCGGAGGTGCTGATGGTGGTTTAACGTCGACGAGAGTAGTTTCTCTCCAGTTCTGAGACATTCTTTTCCATTTAGAGAGAGAAAGTGGAACTGGTTGGTGTTGCTGGTGGTTGTTTGGCTTCTTAAGCTGTGTGACAGTTCATCAGAGTAGTGGTGGAGGCAAAGAAGTGGCAGTAGATCTAGATTTAAAGGCACGTAGTGGTTCCACATCTCAAGTTCCGGCGTCAAATGTAAGTGTTTTCGCAGGTGATCTGAGGCTGTGATAGAGGAAGAGAAGTAACGGTCGTGGAGTCGTCGTCGACGATGGTGGCAGCAGTGGGGCCACCTTCGGCGGCGGTGTTGTTGCCGATAATGGTAGCGGTGGTGTTCTTCAGAGTTCATTGAAGGAGATGAGAGAATTACTTTTTCTCTTGCACAACTATAAGAGTAATGCATCAGATATGAATTTAAGAATAACTTTTTCAAAAAACATTATAACCTTATTGTGTTTTGTTATTTATCAAACTTTAAAAAATAAAAAAATATTAGAATAAACAACATAGCTAAAAATAGTTGCTTCTTAGGGTTCTTAAGCTTTAATGGTTTTCATTTGATCTTTTACCTGTGTGTGTGTGTGTGTATATATATATATATATATATATATATATATATAATATGAGATAGGTTCAAGTATTCTACCTAATTATTGTGTGGATGTAGGAATAATTGTGGGCCAATCAAAATTAAATAATTAAATAAGTCAATAAGGGTTATTTAGTAATTTGGTAAATAAATTCCATAAATACTCCCTATAATCAACATTGACTTTTAACCTAATTTATACCCTAATTTATCCCCCTGTTTATCTATAAACAACTGGCCGTTCCTATAACTCCGCTTAATGCGACTTCTCTCTACCTCCTGTTCGAATTCGATCTCCATACCAGTCGCCTCCCAATTCTATCACAATCGCTATCAAGCAGGCTCACTACCACCCTTACTCTACTCTTCATCAGAAACCACTATCCTCATCACTCTTTGGAAGCTGATAACAACAATGGCGGCCTCTTCAATGCCTACACCGGAGAAAAAAATCACTGCACCATACAGTTCATGGTCCTCTCCCATCACCCCAGACGTCGTGTCTGGAGCCACCAAGGGTCTTGGAGGCACAACCGTCGACTCTCACGACCGATTGTTCTGGATTGAATCACAACCTTCAGAATCAGTGTAAGATGCTTAAGCATCTCTGTCAAACCCTAAAATCATTACCCAGAAATCCGATTCCAATTTCTCATTTCCAAACCCGCAAGAAAATCCAAATCTCCAATCCGGCCATAGATTTCATATTGGATGAATGTGCAGACCTTCCGTCATCAACCCCCAATAAAAACCAACACAAGATACACTGAAAACCACAGAAACAGTTGACGTTGAAACATTGAGCATTGAGATTTTACATCAGTGGCCGGAATGGGTTGGGTTGATGCAGAAGTTGATGAAAATGGGTACTTCGATGTCTTCGGGAATCCATTTCGAAGTGGAGATTTGAACCATGGGAAGGGATGTAATCAAATTCGAACTGCTTGTCTTAACTTTGCTCGTGATCGGCCTGATCTCATGAGGGTATATAACATTGTTCTTCATTGGGTTTCTAATTTACGACGCTTCTGAGCTGAAGCACACCACCTGTTTGAAAATAATCCTCTGTGAAACTTCTCCACCTATTGAATGATAATATCGTCTCAAAATTCTCCATTACTTATCCACTTATCATGGATTTGTGATTCAGTTACTTCACGAGAGGGGACGTAGAGGCGGTTGCCGGATCTGTGTCCCAGCATAGATCAGAAAGTTGTGAACTCCGGTAAACGGCTAAGGGCACACATGGGCATTGACGAAGGAAATGTAAGTGAGAATCTTCGTTTAAATTTAACCAAAATTTTAAAAATAATAAAGGATTTAACAGGTTTGCAGTAATTGCATTTTGAGGGGAATATGTGAGAGAGCATATGTGAAGCCACGTGAAGATGAAGGTGGTCAGACTGTTGATGTGATGCGTTTTGTACTCACTTATGGCCTTCATCGTCTCAATGATTCGCTAGATAGCGAGCCTCTTATAAACAAAAGGATTCAAGAAGCAATCAGAAGTTTAATCAGAGATATGGTGAAGTTTAGTAAGGAAAAACTTGATTTTGATCCTTCTAAACGTGTTCAAACTGTTCAAAAAAGTAAAAATAGTTGTGATTTCCATGAAAGAATTGAAACATCATGAGACAATCAGTTTATTATTTGTATCTCTTTTTACTACATGAGAATTATTATTTGTGACAGATAGAAAAAGTGGTTTCTGGAATCTTCACAGATGGGTAATATAAAACTTTATTATTCTGATTTATTTATCTTTTTTTGTGTATCAGAACATGTCTATACTATGTTTATGTGATTAAATATCATAAACATTTACGGTTATATGTGTAGGATTCTTAAAGAAGATCAAGTGACACGAAACTACAAGATCCATGTTTCAAGTTCTGGATGGACAAGTCTATTTTGATAGATGTATTAGCAACATATATTCTATTAGAATGTATTCGTGTTTTACTTAGATTTCAATGTTTTATTCTTAAAGAATAAATGTAATGGTTAACATTAGTATATATATAGATTCTCTTCAGATAAATGTCATGTATGTATGTTTATAGTTGTATTTGTTAAGAATGAATGTAATAATTGATTTTAAGATATTAAAATTCTTTTCATATAAAATTTGTATTTATTAAAAATTATTAATATTGATAATATATGTTTATAGTATTCTGTCAGAATTTAATGCTTTTTTCAAGATAATCATAAACCCATTCTATTAGAATATCTGAATTAATATATTTATTATCCAAAAAAATCATATTTTTAAAGTTTATAGAATTAAATATTCCTTAAAATCTGCAATTTTCCTTTTTTAAAATTTATGTTAATTGACTAAAATACCCTTAGAATGAAATTAGATGGTATTTTTTAATTATCTTTAATTTAATAATATGTATTAATTACTTTTTTAAAATAAGTTAAATGATTGACTTACATTCATTTCTGCATCCACACAATAATTAGTTAGAATACAATAACATAAGCCATATATATATATATATATATATATATATATATATATATATATATATAGGGAAAAGTTCAATAGAGAACCATAATTATTGGTTCTCCAAAGAACCAAATCATTTTTTCAAGCTTTAGAGCTTATTCTTTATCGAAAAAAAAAATCTAAAAATATCTAAATTCATAACATAACATTGTGAATGTGAAAAATATTTTTCGGATTCACCGTGTGAATTTAGATTCACATTGTGAATTTGACGATTTTTTTTCGAATTTGATATCATTGGAAAAAGGATAAAAAGTTATGAATTTCTATATTTTTAGTTTTTTTTTGATAAAAAATAAGTTCTAAAAGTTGAAAAAAAGATTGGTTCCTTGGTTAATTATGGTTTTCTATTGAACCTCACCCTATATATATATTATATATATATATATATATATATATATATATATATATATATATATATATATATATATATATATCTCTTTAATCTTTACTATATTATTAAACATATTGCTTGTTTCTTGAAAATTAAGAGGTACAGTACCTATTACCTCAGGTACAATAATATTAAGCTTATAATCACATGTATAGGTATACACAATATTATTTTATCGTATAGGCATACATGGTATATCCTGATGTTACCCTAATCTTGTCACACACAACACTACACACAACAGCCGCCATCTAAGGAAATCGAAACCCTCTTCTTTCCGTCTCCTTCCTAATCGCTTCAGAATCGATCGATACTCACCAAATCAAACCAAATCTCTACTGTCTCTCACTTGGCATCGTTGCTGAATATCTCAACGCCTCCACCGTCTCTCCCTGAACTCAAATGGTACGCGACAGGATCTTTGAAGGAGCATGGAAGTGAATGGGACCATGAGACGGCTTGGTGTTCATACTGTTACGGAGATAACGAAGGTACTTCATTTTTTGACGAACAAGACCACCGGAAAGGCAGATCTCTTCGGTGCGCACGACGGTGACCCCCTGGCCATTCACCTGCCAAGCTTCCGCCTATGTCGTCGTAGTAGCCGGATGGGCCACCGGACTGAAACTCGGCAGCGACTCCGTCGGAATCGAATACAACACTCACCGCAACATAAGAATCACACTTTTTGCCCTAAGAACCATTCAGGTATGCAAAAATCGATCACATTTTTCATAATTTCTCTCTCTAACTCTGTAATTTTGAAATTAAAAGGTTTCAATCACTCAGTTTTCAATATGTGCATGTTGATTCAAATATCCCTCCGATCGCACATCAGATGCATCTTTGTTCCCTCCCTGCTATAAAGCCCACCGCCATGAAGTATTTCCCAATACAAACCCAAATCCATTTTTCCCTCTCTTATACGAAGACATTGAGTTTTTCTGGAAAATAATTTCGATTTTCTTTCCTTTTAGTGATTTGATTTGGTGTTTTGATCGGTTGCCGAGTGAGATGGACGACCGACGGGTTAAATACGGATAGTTTCTTCTGATTGTGTTTATTATCATGCTGTTTGTGTTTGTTTGTGTAGGTGATTGGGCAGTTCAATCTTGGATTTATCATTGGCAAGTTGGATGAAGAGCTGTTTATCGTGGATTAGTTGTTTGCTACCTCATAATCATATTTTAAGACTGTTGTTCCATTTCCATGTTCATTGATAAAAGTTGCTGTTGAATGAATTTGTAATTTTGTATTAGGAAAAATGGGTTTTCGTTGGAGGAGGATTTGGATGCTCTTCCTGGGCAGCGTTATAAAATGAAAGTCGTCCCCTTCAGTTAAAACATAACTTTGGTGTTGCAGGTAATACATGACACACTAAGTTTCATCTCTTCAACTAATCATATTATATTTTTATCCCCTAATATGATTTATGATATATGATATATATGATTATTATTTTCCAGATGTTAAGGAACTCATATCTATCCTGGCGGATAGTCAAGGAGAATGCTCAATGATGGGCGCATATAAGATGGACACCTATGACTCCGTTTGCCCCCCAAGAGTACGTGCAATGCTAGCATCGCGTGCCTATAGATCTTCTGTTATGATTGGAGATCCGCTTGGAAGAAACGAGATGAAAAAGGTACGCTGCTACTTTCCTTTTTTGTTTTCGCTTTCGCTTTCGCTGCTTCTTTTTAAATCTCTAAATTTTGTTTCTACTGTATATGTATATGTAGACTTTCACATGAGAGTACGGACACGTTACTGAGAACTAATCACATAACAGGTTTTGGAACATGGAATGTTCATTTGGTGAAGTTATTCATCTGATGCACAGCAGATTATAAACTTCATGAAAAAGGAAACCGATGTGAACAAGGTATGGGATACTCTTAGTAGTCTTCCTCCCATTCACACTACATGGTATGATATCATCAGTGTTACTGTTCAATTTCATCTCAATAAAAGATGGGATCCAATCATATTAGTAAGAACCATCTTGTTGTCTTTGTATTACATTTATGACATATTGGTTTGATCATTTGTCAACATCTACTCTCATTACATATGTGTGAATGGATTAGTAAGAGCCTATTGTACATCTGGATTACTAGACAAAGCTGAAGCTGTCTTTATGGAAATGTTGATATTTATGCTTATAATCCTTCTGTTGGATCATTTACAGGTAGCGACTTCCATAATTCATACACCAAAATATTTATCCCCATATTAATGATTAATTTATCCCACATTAATGATTGTTAGCATTCTTGGTGTTATATATCTATCCCACATTAATGATTAATGTCATCTGCAGATGATTATGTTTTCTTTGAGAAATTTTGCCTTGATAAATACAAGTTCGCACATGATGATGTAGTAATTTTCAGGTATGTTGTAATTTTCATGTATTAGGAGGGAATTCATGTCTTTTCCACATCCATTGACATCGGTCACAGTAATAGTTTTTCTTTTCTGATTTGAAAATACCAATATATGAATATGATAGATGATAATTGTGATATAGTTTTGGATTATTTTGTAGTTATCCAACTAATTACAAGGAGATATGTGTGAAAATAATAGTAGCAATGGAAGGTGATTATATCAGTAATGTTGGTGGTGTTGTGAAGGTTCCGGAAGGACATTGTTGGGTAGAAGGTGACAACTTAGCTTCTAGCTTTGATTCAACATCATTTGGCCCCGTATGTTACCTTTATATTTGATTAATTATGATACCATTTTGAAATTTAACATTTGTGGTTATATATATAACAAAATGAGTATAGAGCATTATAGAGATGAATTTGTTAATACCAACCATATGAACATAATATGGTTTATTTATTTATTTATTTTTTTCAGATTCCATGGGGTTTACTCACATTGTTTGGCCACCACAAAGAATCAGAAAAATTGATAGAAGAATCCAACAATAAGGGCTTGCATAAATATTCGTTACATTATTTGTTATTTCTGTACTCATCAAATGCATAAACAAAAATCAGTGTTGAAAGAAATCAAATTCTGCTGGTTCTAATACCATTAAATGAATTTGGTGGATATGAAAGGTTTTTTTTAGCCTAGACTTGACATGTCATAACAAACAATCTGATACAGTGTCCATAATAATAGGTCATTGTTATAGACACTGACTGCGATTGAGATTGATGTCAACAGAACAAAATTACAATGTCATGTCTTGCTTAAATGATAGAACAAGGTGGGGCATAGACACAAAAATTCCATTCAAAGGGACAGGATAAAATTGGGGTTTTTGTAAGCATTGTAAGCACAAAAATTAATCAGATACAGGATAAAATCAGGGTTTTTGTTAGCATTTTTCAGTTGGAATAGCTACAAAATTAATCACATACAGGATAAAATCGGGGTTTTTGTTAGCATTGTAAGCACAAAAATTCCATTCAAAGGGACTGGAAAGGAATATATTGGAGATGACATAAGCGAGATTGCTAATGCTGTCAAGGTAGGTTTGCAGTTTATCACCTCAATTCTCAATATGTTCTATTTTTTTTTTATGCTAACAATGTCTTAACACTTACGCTTTTCAGACTTCTCTTAAACAATGCTGCGTCCAGCTAAAGTCAAAAATATTGAAGAAAATTCAGGCTTGTGAGCAACAAGAGAGAAAAAAATTTGAGGAGGTAATCGTTTATGCCTGAAAAGTACTTTTTGTTTTTTCTAATTATTAAATTACTGAGTTGGTTTACATATATATATATATATATATATATATATATATATATATATATAGGTTATACGTACATTAATTATGCTACGAGTGCTATATATGTAATATAGTTAACTAAGAATTTGACATTTTTAATAGCAAGAAGTGACCATTTTCATCGGAAAAAGACTTTTTGACAACAAATGTGACCATTTTGACAACTAAAATGACCTTTTGTATGTTATTGGTATATGTTACTTATTTTTATAAAATGATTAATCGGAGCGACAGAAAAAAAAATCCAGATATCCTAATTCATATCTATCTGCAACCGAAATTTTGGATATCCAAAAATTCGGATACAATATATTTCCAAAAATAAAATCGTCAATTATTATATTCATTTTTAAAATTTTGAGTATATTTGTTTTGTATGATTTTAAATATTTTTGGTAGGGATTTCGACAACTATTATATTCATTTTTAAATTTTTGAGTATATTTGTTAAGTTTTGTATGATTTTAAATATTTTTGGTATGGATTTTGACAGTTATTATATTCATTTTTAAATTTTCAAGTATATTTGTCAATGTTAGTATTCATGGTAAGATTTTAATTTGATTAATTTTGGAATGATTATCAATATCCAAAAATACATCATTTTCAATTCAATAATAGTTTATTCCACCTATAAATTCAATATATGCTCTTCATTTTTAACTCTCACAGCACAATTCAACATTTAGGGTTTTGGGAGGATTGGATCATTCATTTGGAATTGGCAAGACTGCTTCATTGCATTGCGCTTCGTGACAAGAATTCAGGTTCTCTTTACTTCTTCTATCTTTTGTAACTTAAAGTGTGTCTATAATATTTTATTTCTTACTTCTTATGTTTGAAGTGATAGACTTCTTTTGTTTCAAATGATAATCTTATTATGTTTTCTGTCTAAAGTGATAATCTTATTCTTCTTCTATCTCAAATAATACATGTATATAATATGTATATATGTGTGTATGTATTTATTTGTGACATTATATATATATATATATATATATATATATATATATATATATATATATATATATATATATATATGTGTGTGTGTGTGTGTGTGTGTGTGGTTTGTATATGTATATGTATAAGTTGGGACATTGTGTATTGGTTATTAGTGTGCCATTGTGACATTGTATATATGTGTGGTTTGTATATGTATATGGGTAAGTTGGGACAACATGTTTTTCATTTTTTTTATATTTGTTATTTTCCAGTCTCTTTTTTCTCTCTGTTTCTTACTTTGCGTGTGTGAGAGAGAAAAAGAGGCTGATTGCATGCACTTGAATCAGTTTTTCACTATCTGGTTTTGAATATTAAAGAACACACTTCAAATTTAAGCAATCTGACAAATTAATGCGTATAAAAATATCTATCAAATTGATCTTGTTGAATCTAGCATGTAAGAAACAAAAAAATTATTGTATTATTAATTGTATGTCAACTTATGAATTCACACAAAGCGCTTTCTAAATTATCAGATAGATAGTATATTTATAGGTGATAAATTTATTATCTTCCACTCATAATAAATGAATATAAATCTAACATATATTTTCATAAACCGAAAATCATGTATAGCTAAACATAAATAAAAAACTTAATGAGATCTCATAACTAGATACTGTGTGAATCGTGACCAATATGACTTCTGGAGTTTACACTTTTTGTGTGCACGGAACACTCTATCATAATATCGATCAGTTAATTTCAAGGGATGGAAAATCGAGGTATTTACAGTTGTACTTTTATGATGGTGAAGCTGAAATATCACAGAGATCCTCCTGGAAGAATGTTGATAGAAGAATCATTCAAAAACTAACATGTATTCTTGCTTCGAATCCGTACGTTAGAACATTTAAATGTCTTTCTGATCTAGGTCCACTTGATAATTATAGAGTGACTTTGAATGCATCGGTGGAATTTGACCAAAGGGTGTACAATAAGCCGACCACATCTGAGGTGTGAATATTAACCTTTATCTTTATTCATTTTAAAATTAAATGGGTCATATTTATTATTATACATATCATATTAATCACCCTATTGAACTACACATTTGCATAGGTTGCTGGTATTTGGGTTGAAGGAAATGACAACATCACTGCATATAAAAGAAGTATTATTGTCTATGGCAGGTCTAACTATAGTACTGAAATTCAACCTCACTTTGGTTGTTATGATCCTTTGTCGTATCCTTTATTCTTTTCCCAATGGTGAGTCTGGATGGCATCCTTTGCAATCCAACGACGCCGATTCAAAATTTATCATTTCGAGGGCGATATTGTCAACTAAAAATGAAAGTGTTGATGAGATTAATAATAAGTTGATCGAACGATTTTCTGGCGAGCAAAAATTTTACTATAGTTTTGATGAAGCGGAAGATGACAAAAATAACTTATATCCGATGGAATATTTGAACTCGCTAAATGTTAGTGGTGTACCCCCTCATTATCTTCGGTTAAAAACTGGGTGCCCAGTAATACTTTTGCGAAATATCGATCCTTCAAATGGGTTATGTAATGGCACCAGATTGATATGTCGAGCTTTCCAACAAAATGTCATTGATGCAGAGATAGCTGTTGGTCAACATGCTGGAAAAAGAGTGTTTACCAAGAATTCCTCTATGTCCGTCTGACGATGAGATGTTCCCATTCAAACTAAAGAGAAAGCAGTTCCCAATTCAGCTTAGTTTCTCTATGACAATCAATAAAGCTCAAGGACAAACAATTCCAAATGTAGGTGTTTATCTACCAGAATCGGTATTCTCACATGGCCAACTTTATGTGGCGTTGTCCAGAGGAATATCACGTGTCAATACCAAGGTATTAGTAAAGCCGGAAAAAATGTTTGATAATGATGAAATCTACACATCAAACATTGTGTACAAAGAAGTTTTATGTGATTAAAAAGGTACAATCAACAACTTATTACTTTACAATTTCTTCAAATATGTATCTTAGATGCTCATTTGATGTTTAATGCAGGGCTAGCAGATGAAGCAACATGATTGCAGATTGGTGTAGTTTATATATTGGACATGTTATAAATGTATAAAACTACATGATTGCAAATTGTTGTTATTTATATATTGTAAAATCATGTATGAACTATTAGATGAAATTCCAAATGTAGACTCAACTTCTGTCGTATTGTATGACTATGCACCTAGCAAGAAACTATCCGTTGAAATGAACTATTTGACACAAAATAGTCTACCAAAATGCCGCAATGAATAGCTCACGTCTAAAGGAAACTAATCATCATTGATAAAACTATCTTCCGAAAAAAAATCTTTGCCGCCCGGCGCTTAGCGCGGGTAAACGGCTAGTATATTATTAAACATATTGCCTGTTTCTTGAAAATTAAGAGGTAGAATACCTATTACCTCATGTACAATATATTAGCTTATAATCACATCGTAACGTATTACCATCATCCTTAGAAAATATACCAAAGCTATAAAAACAACACAAACCAAAACAACAAAGTATACGTTACACCGGTATTACTTTATCTCTTCGATGTTACCCTAATCTTCTCTACAAAGTCACCATCAGAAGGAAATTGAACCCCTCTTCTTTGTGTTTCCTTCCTAATCTCTTTAAAATCGATCGATACTCACCAAAATATCACAGTGTCTCCTTTTCTCAATCGATCGCTATCCTTTTCCCTTTTCTTCTCAAAATCGATTGTAAGTTCTAAGTTCCGATCGACAGAAGTCAAGAAATGCTCAGATCGATCACAAAAACCTTCACTGTTTGATTCCGATTGCACGCTTCTTCTCTCTCCCTCTCTCGAAATCGATTGCAGATGTATATTTCTCCGTCACCGTTGTCCGCCACTTCTACCTGACAACAACCAGTTAATCTGATGATGGTGACCATTTTTTTGATCTCAATCTGATGATGGTGACCATTTTTTTGATCTCACTACAGGACTATTTTGAAGTCAATTAGACCATGGGTGATAGTCAAACCTCTTTAGGAATTAAAGGTGATTACTCTTTACAAGCTTGCATTTCTTGTTAAGATTGAAAATAGTGTGTCATATGATACTCCATTTGTCTATTGTTAGTGTTTGAGCGCTTTTAGCATGTAAACTTGTTGGTTGTTGGTTATGTTGACTAGCTATTAAAGGTTTTTGTATGAAAGATGTTGTTCAGTGCTTGTGTTGATGGGCTGTTTTTGTTCAGAGTATTTTACTATTCTAATTCAGAGGGAAAATTTGATTATTTCTGGATTATGTTGTTAGTTTTCTTATGGCTTGAGACTGTTCACAACTTTGATGTGGTCTGTTAGTTTGGGCAATTGTGATAAGGTGTAGCCGTATTAAACAGTTTAGCTTCCCAGAGAAAATATGCTTATACCTAGATTGCTTGTGCACATACTAGGGACAATTGGGTTTATTATTTTAATTTAAGCTAAATATATAGTTTTGCAATTGCCACTTAATAAAGCATTCTAACCTCTACATAGTAGCATTATCAAATACTCATTTCCCATAATTTGAAGCCTGTAGTGTAGTGTCATATTGCTCATACAGTACACCAAGAAGTTTTATCTGAATGTTTCACCTAACTGAGTTATTAAGCCACTGAACGCTTGTTTGAACATTTAACTTTAATCCCAATAGCATGCTTAATTCCGTTTATACAAAAAAAACTCATATGCTAAATGCATTGATTTTTAAGGAAATTGGATTTGCTTTGAACTTGGCTTTCCTTGACAGTTGTTAATCTCTTGACTTTAAAACTGAATTTCATGCTTATTTGTATAAATGTTTTGACCTCATGTACCAATCGTCAGACTTAATAGTGTTGCAATGGGCTGTGGTGCAATCTACCAGCTTTCCTTCAGTTTCCAGTGAAAGCAGGATCCATTCAAAGAGATCTGGAAATGCAAAAAGACCGGTCAAAGAAAATCAACTGTATTATCG